ATGATTAAAATAAAAACAATGTTATATTTTTTAGTTGAACATAAATATATATTTTATAATACTAATAATATTAATAATAACAATAACAATACATTAATATTATCCTTAATTTATAATATTACACATTTATAAAATAATAATAATAATAATAATAATAGTATTAATATTAATTAACCCATATTAATATTAACATATAACAATAATATAATATTAATTTTGTAATAATAATTTCTCCAACGAGAATTTATTTATTTTTGATATATGCAATATAATCTTCCCGAAATTTTTTGTTCATTAACCAACCAATTTTTGCCCTAATCCATACAGGTGTAATAAGACTGATAAATGTTTGAATATCATGGGCCCAATATCCGCTGCTTGAATCTACTTTACCGAGCGTGGCTATTGCATTTTTGGCATAAGTCGTTGGATTAGGGACAAATACGCTGGATACCTGTTATTACATGACCATTTAAATCTATGCATGTTTTTATCATTAATAAAAAAGATATGAGATAATAATAATATTCAAAAAATAAATAAAATAGATCGATGTAAATGATATGAAAGAATGAAAGGAAAGAAAAAAAAAAAAGAAAAAAAAACTTGATAACTCATACCTGAAATATCGGATTGAAGGCATTCATTTTGGTATTGATAAAGAATGGTGACAAATGTTGAACCGTTATACCAAATTTCGAATATTCGATTCTAATTGCATTGGAGAAACTTTTCAAATATACTTTGGTTGCAGCATAGACGGTCATTAATGGTAGCGGCTGATGTTCCGACCCAGAAGATATATTAACGATTGCACCTTTTCTACGTTTTTTCATTCCTTCAATAATTAATCGCGTCATCATCGTGGCAGCCCCCACATTTATTGTTATAATATCCCATAGCTCATCCTCCGGAACTTCATTGAGATACATTGGATAACTATACTGTTTGCCCACGTTATTCACTAAATAAATATTGAATCTTTTAAATAAGTATTATTGAGCAATGGTTTTGAGATAAAAAAAAAAAAGAAAAAACAAACCGGCGAACAATCAAAATTTCTTTCTTCCTTCTTCTATTAATTAATTATTCTCTTCGATTAATTAACATTATTAGAATTATAATAATTAAATAAATGTAAATTAACCAAGGATATAATAATAGTTCTTATATCTCGAACAAACAACGTCTGTAATTTCATTCGCTTTCACGAATTAAGATATCGTTATCGGTCACGAGTTTTTATTTTCTTTCCTTTATTTTTATTCAATTAAAAGTATTATTTTTTTTTCCTCGTGTAATTTACTGCATCGATAAAAAAAATTTTTTTTCTAAAGAAACTTTTAACGAAATCAATGTATAAGTCAATAATATATAAATGTATGTATATATATATATATTTTTTTTTGTTTTGTTTCTTTTTTTACTCACCCAATATTCCAATTGGTACATTTTCCAATTGAGGTTTGATTTCTTCGTAGATCAGTTTGCCTTTGCTAAAGTCTGCCTGTATGATCCTTACTTCTATGTTAGGATTAACATTCAATATTTCAGACTTGGTATTTTCCAATTTATCTAAACTTCTGCTTATTAAGATTAAATTAATATTTCTTGTAGCTAGTTCCATTGCGTAAGCCTTTCCAATTCCGTCGGTTGATCCTGTTACCACTAGATTGAGTAAGAAAAAAAAAAGAAGAAGAGAAAGAGAGAAAGAAAAAAGATTAATAATGTTTTTCAAGTTGATTTGTTTTTCTTCTTTCTTTTTCTCGACTTACCTGCCCATTCGCCAAATTTCGTGCGCAAATTGATCGGTTTGGAATTGATAAGGGGAAAAAATATTTCCCATATAATAGATATTAAATGATTTGCGAAATTAAATAATAACCAAAGTGCGATTAATCCGCCTAATGACCAGAGTATTATTAACGTCATCATTTTCTTTGAATGAGTTCGTCTTCAATTAAACGTATAAACTGAAATATTGAAAAGTTATGTTTAATTCTCAATACACAAACAATTCAAAGAAAATGTTTATGTTTTGTCCTTTATGTTTATGTTTTGAATAATTTATTTAAGTTTTTTAATAAAACTGAGCCTGAATCTTTCAAACGCTTTTGGTATTTAATATCAAAATTATCAAGCACATGTATCCATTACAAATAAAATATATGATTTGTCATTAATACGATAACTTGCGTAGAAACAAACACTTATACTTTAAACGATTTATAAATACTATGTTATTGTTATCACTCGAATCACAATATTGTCTTTTTTTGACGTTTTTATTGGTCGTTCCGATTTACTATATAAGCTGTAGTTTAACCAAACATTATACTTTTGTTTATCGCAATACTCGGTGATACAATATTGGTATCACAAAATTAAAAACACTTTGTAACTTTTAAAAAATCGAATCCTCACGTTGGATATTTTCTTTCATTTTTTTTAATACGTCTCTTAATTATTCTCTCTCCCCCCATCCCTCACTCTCTGTCTCTCTCTCTCTCTCTCTCTTTCTCTCTATACCTTTCCCTTTCTCTTTTACTTTATTTATATGCTCTTTCTTTCAGAGATGATCCCTCGACGATATCCAACGCAAGACTAAAAGTGATTTGCTACAGGTAACTATATATAGAAAATGTATGAACATAAGTAACTTTCTCCGAACGACCTTGAAATTATGTACAAATAAGATGTTATTGCTTTTTTAAAATAAATCCTTTATTTTATTTTTTAAAAATTATTGACAAAAATTTATTAGCTTACTTTTTTCTTCTTTTATTTTTATTCGTTTTTACTTTATTATTTGTCGTCATTATCAAACGAAAAATATTCTCATAGAAAAATCATGAATATTTTGTATGATCTTTTCTAATTTCTATAATGCAAAAAACATGAATAAGTTATCCATGAGTTATTCCATTAAACATTATATATATATATATATATATATATATATATATATATATATATTAATTAATACAGATTGTACATATGTACGTATGGTCGAGATAAAGAAAATTATTAGTTAAAATTTAACCAACGTTTTTTCCAAGTGAAAATTTTCAAGTGGGAAAGGGTTCATAGTTAATGCGCGATAAATCGAGGTTGCTGGTGTAACATTATCGTGTAATCATTCTGTTATGGTTGTCCCAAATATCTCCCCATTCTAACGATGTTCATCAGTTTCGAACATCAGTACTAGATGTCGATTTAACGATGTCGTACTTTTGAACTTTCTAATGCATTTTATTCGATTGAAAATTTCATAAAAGAGGAATTCATTGGAAGAATAAAAGAAAAAAAAAAAAAAAAAAAAAAGAAAAAAAGAAAAAAAAAGAACAAAGAAACGACGAAGTAAATTCGATCCTGAGAATACGACACTCAATTTATACGACACGAGAATATTTCATAAAATGCATCGTATAAGAGAAACTTTGATGATGTAATCGATAATCAATAATATTATAGATCGACAATACTTATATAACGACGTCAAATTACAATATTTATAAAGAATATTTTCTTTTCCTTAAAAAAATATTCTTAAAAATATCCTTTAATATATTTAGGTGGACCGGAAAGTAATGTTGCTTTCTTAAATTAAATTCAAACGAATAAATTTTTAAACAAGTTTTTAATTTAAATCATAATCAAATATCGATATGCGCAGAAACGACATTACTTTCCGGTCCACCTAATATATCCTTACAAAATATGCTTTATATAAAAAAGATATTAAAATATAAAAGAAAAAAAAGATGTTTTAATAAATTATAAAAAAAAAAGAAACAAATGTAATAGCGTAAATAATAAATTTAGCATGGATAATAGAAAAGAAGGTCTTTGAGAATACGATATTGAGATAAAAGTAATCTTTTAAAAATTTCTTCTGACGAAGCAATTAAGTTATTATCGTGGATCATTTGTGCTTATATAAATATATACTGACTTAATCATTTTGTTATCGCTTTTGTATGTGTGTGTGTATGTGTGTGTGCGCGAGTATGCTATGAATTTGTCGCAAAATTTCTATTATATATTATGCCACATAACAATAATTAAATGTAATCAAGATGAACAAATCGTCTTTATTATCTTTTATAAATTTTATAAACGATCATATTGAAGATCATAATTAAAGAATTATTTCGAAAATTCAATATTATTCGATTTATTCCATAATAATGTTTGATTTGCACATTGTTAAGTCCACGAATGTATGCACAAATAATCGTTATATTCTCAATTGCGTATAAATAATCGTTATATTCTCAAAGCAAAATTCCATTAAGATATTTATCAAGAAAACTTTTTTTTTCTTCACTTTCACTATGTTAGAAAGAATGTTTTAGCACAATTAAAAAAATGAACATAGCTGATTGATTCGCGAAAAAAAGAACTTGATTTTTGTAACTGATAGTTCCTCGTATTTAATATAAATAATTAACAAATTTGATTTCGTTCACTTTCACTATTTTTTACCTTAGCTTCTTATATTTGATTACTTGAGAACTTATTTCGCCGATAGTTGTGGATAAAATAACGAATGAATAAAATTCGTAATGGATGAAATCGTTTAATTATCTTCTTTGATGTGACATATATATATATATATACATATATATATATATATATATATATATATATATATATATATTTGTACATCTAAAGTATGTTTTAACGTATATATATATATATATACATATACATGTTAGAACATTCCTCTTAAAGCGCGATGTGTAAGCAGAAGAAGAGAAGAGGATCGAAGACAGAGAGATAGAGAGAGAGAGAGAGAGAGAGAGGGAGTGAGAAAAAGAGCGAGGGGGAAAGAGAAAGAAAGATGTTTTACGAGAAAAGAGGCGCGCGCAGCTTCTTTCGCTCGCTTTAACACGTACACACGTATACATAGCACAGGGAAAGAGAGAAAGATAGAAAGAGAAAAAGAGAGAGGGAGAAATATGCATGGAAAGGTCCTCTCTCCAGTACGTGTATCGTCTTCGTGAACAGAAGATAGTCCCACTCGTTGCGTTTCGTGCTCTTTTATTATATTTCCTTTGTTTTCTTCAAAATGTTCTTTCAAAAAAATCATTTTCTTTTTTCTCATTAGAATTTTTCCACATATATATATATATGTATATATATATATATGTGTATGTATGTACATTTGTGAAAAAACAAAATCTGTTTTATTTCCAATAGTTTTGTTTTATTCGTTAAAGGAAAATAAAAGGAGAGAGAAAAAAGATATTGCCTTATCACCTTGAATTTTGATCTCCTCTCTCTTTTTTCTACACAATCATCGTTCACTTTGTTAATTCTCATAACAGAGAAGCATTTATTTTCCAAGGTATGAAAAGATTCTCTGTTTGAATTTCCCCGCTCTCGTAATACGAAATATTCTCTATCTTTTTCCTATAGTAAATTGCTTGACGAATAGGCTAACGTTTCGTAAGTACGCCGCGGGATACGAACTTCGGACATTAGAGATATTTCGGCCCTGTCAGTCGAGAGGGCGAAGTTGAACCACAAGCCCGTTGTTTTCCTTCGTACGATAGCTTTTAAAGGAATTCAACGAAATTTAACGACTATTATCATCGTATCTCAATCGATCGATAATCAAATCGAGAGAAAAAGAAAGGTATTTATTTTACATATATTTACATATATTTAATCGTTCCTCGGCAACGTAGATGCAATGAAAAATATTCAATAGAAAAAAAATTTTAAGAAAAAGCAAAGTTGTAACGCTGATTCGTAAAACACGTGCGAAGCATCTGTGCCGAACGTAAACTTAAAATGGTTGTGGCCTCGAAATGGTTTAGAATGTCGAACGGCTTTCGTTTCTTTTTCTTTTGCGTTAGGTAGATATCTGAATATTTGTACAGTCTTGGTATATTCTTTTTTTCCTTTTTTCCCTTTTCGAACGAATTCGAACGAAACTGCATGCTAAAAGTTCGCAAGCTCTACGTGTCGCATTTATCGATTATTTATCTTTCATCTTGGAAGACAAACACTGGTCTGAATACAAATTGCTCGATCTATCTACAAATCGATTATATTGTTTATTTTACGATTTCAACAACTTTTTCTTTCTTTTTTCTTTTTGCTTTTCTTCTTCTTCTTCTTCTTCTGCTTCTTCTCCTTTTTTGTTTTTTTTTTGTTTTTCTTTTTGTTTTTTTTTGTTTTTTTGTTTTTTTGTTTTTTTAATTCTCTCCAGAAATAAAACTCAATCGTTCTATCTTTTTCCTTCAAATCAATTTTATTACAAATAGATCGAGGAACATGATGCAATCGGAGTTATGAACCATGACACCAAAGCAACGGTTCATACGGTTCGTTCGTTTTTAAAGAGATTTATGAGTTGACGAACGCAACTATTGGTTCGTATTAGTCAACTCAAGAGTTTACGACGATCATGATTTTTCTTTTTTTCAACTTTTTTATTTTCTATTTCGAGTTAGGCTCGTCGTCGTTCCCAATAAGCTATCATAATACGATACTCGAGTGTCACGTCGAATCGAATTCTCTCGATTAGATCATTTTCTTTTTTGTTATATGCCATTATTTATCCGACAATCTTTCATTTCCTTTTTCCATTGACACAAAATACGAAGATACCAACTGGCAAACATGTTCTTTTTCTCCCACGTGACGTGCATGCTTCGCGCGTAAACGAGATCGAGATTACGTTCTACTTCTATAAACTGGATTCCGTTAAGCCGATCCGTTGTTTAATCCGTTACTTTTGCATAAACGTTCAGACGATCATCTCTGTAAGACGGATACGCGTGATATCGACTAATTGTATAATTATTTAATTATCGTAATGATTGACGACATGCGATGATCGGTTTTAAAAGAATCGTAAAGAAAGTAAAAGAAACAAAAAAAAAAAAAAGAAACAAAAAGAAAATAAAGATAATAATAATAATAAAAAAAAAAAGAAAAAAGAAAAGAAGAAGAAGAAGAAGAAGAAGAAGATAATAGTAAAAAGGAAAAGAATGAAAGAAAAAAGAGAAAAAGAAACAAAGAAGAAAAACAAAAAGAAAAAAAAAGAATTAGTGATCACTTTTCAAATAAATCTATAATTCAATGTTTCTCTTATGCGTGGAAAATTATTTCACACACGTTTAATACGGTTTCACGTTCGATCGATGTCATGGCTAAAGTTCAAGAACAGGTTTTGCAAAGCGGTAATTGAAACTAGCGTACCTATATTATACTGTATATATATATATATATATATATACATACACACACATACACCACACATTTATATATACATATATTGGGTTAATGTGATCTCCTCCCTATCGCTAACGCAACCATTCCACACGCGTGCCTCTACGATTATTACATATATTAGTTATATATTTGACGGATTTCGCTCGTGTCGTAGTTAGCAATAGTTACTTTTCAATATATACTCGAGGCTACCGATAAAAGTAAAGCTCAACATTATTAATGTTATATATATATAAACGGAGACCGGAATTACGTATGTATATATGTATGTAAGTTAAATCTAGTTAATTGGAATAAAAGACCTACAATTTTGACCTCGTTTATTAAATATTACATTTAATTTATTCATCCTGTATTGCCTTTCTAATGCAATAGAATTTTTCGATTCTATCGATTGAGTTGGAAGAAATTTTTTTTCGATTATTTCTCTTTCTTTTCTTTTTTTTTTTTTTTTTTTTTTCTTCTTCATTCCACGTTGGCAAACAAAGTTGATTTTAACATTGTACACTTTCGTCGTATTTACAGAAAGGATTGCGCAAGCGAGACGACAATCTCACGAGAAGATAACTCAATGTACCGGATGATCACGAGAGGACGATGATAGGATGTCGTGTCTTCAGGGCAATAATATTTATTTTCGTTATTTGGAATTCGATCCTAAATGCAGAGAAAACCAACGAAGAAGTTTCGTTAGAATATGGCAACTCGAAGTATCTTCAATCACAGAAGTATATGTACTCTTGGACAGGACCTAATGCATTAGCGAGATCCGCTTTGTTGGAGCGTCAAGAAAGATTACAGTATAATTGCGAGGAGATTTTTAGACATAATAATGTTGGAAACGGAACGTTAAGTCCTGAATCCTTTAGAAACATCCTCGTGGACGAACAACACGAGTTGCTTTATTGTTATGTACCAAAGGTATATATATTTATATATATTTATATATATGTACACATATATAAATATATAGCTTTTGAAAATTCTGTAAAAAATTAAAAAAAAAAAAAAAAGAAAAGATACATTGATCTCTAATAAATTCATATGGTAAAAGTATTTTATTAAATTAAATAGTTTGCTGATTAGTTTACATAAATCAGATTTAATTTTCACGATTTAATTTTATTAATTACGATTATATAATTGTATGAGGAAGAGATAAAGAGAAAAAACAAAAAGAACTATTGGTGAGAAGAAAAAATTTGAAAAAATTCGAAATAAACGAATTATTATAGATCTAAGAGAAAACGTAAGGCTCGTTTCAAGGATAAATTCCTTTAACTTTCGAATTATATTACAGATTCGTGTGTCTACTATTCACGGAATTATTACAATATCCTACCATTTTACAGGTTGCCTGTACAAACTGGAAACGCGTTTTAATGATCGCCACAGGAAAGTGGTCTGGAAATGATCCTTTAGAAATACCGGCTGATCAGGCTCACTCGCCAGGAATTTTTTTAAGATTAAGTAATTACACTGCTTCGGAAATTGAGAAAAAATTAACATCCTACGACAAACTTATAGTCGTTCGACATCCATTTGAAAGGCTACTATCAGCTTATAGGAATAAACTGGAAGCGAAACATGAAAGGAGCTCGAGATATTTTCAAACTCGTTTTGGAAAGAAAATTATAAAGGTAATCTAAGCTATCCTGTTTCATAAAAAAAAAAAAAAAAAAAAAAAGGAAGAAAAAGGAAAGAGAAACATTTTATTTTATTTCACTTAAAAAAAAATATTTTACTTTATTTTATTAAAAAAATATTTTTATTTTATTCCATTTATTTATTTATTTATTTTTTTTTTTTTTTTCGATAGAAGTACAGAGTGAATGCTACGCAAGAATCATTGAAAAATGGGGACGATGTTACGTTCAGAGAGTTTGTAGAATTCATTACCAATGATACTGAAAATGGTACGAGGAACGAACATTGGAGACCTATATATGAATTATGTCAGCCGTGCGTAGTTAATTACAATCTTGTTAGTAAGTATGAAACCTTGGTGGAAGACGCTACAGAAGTGTTGGAAAGAATGAATGTCGTCACCGTCAAGTGAGTATAAATTTGCGATTTAAATAAGCTTTATGATTTATATTTGTCCAACCTTGGAATATTTAACATTTAAGATGACGATTGTTTTCATTCTTTATCCAGTTTCCCATCGAAACCACAGAGTACCGAGCCAACGTCCAAGAAATTGGATAGATATTATTCGACTTTAAGTTATAAACAATTGAGAAAGTTGGAGAATTTGTACAAATTAGATTTGAAATTGTTCGATTATTCACTGGAGGATGTTTTAGGATTTTCTTTAGCTTAAATTTATAGTGAGAGAATTAACGTGTACAGAGAACTGAGATTCGATGAATTAAAAGAGATTCAGATTCTGTATCTTTTTTTTATTTTTTATTTTTTTTTATTTTTATTTATTTATATTAGAACGATATAAAATAATAGACTAGTTTATCCATTAAGAATTTCTGTCAAGTCACTACGTTATAACGATTTTAATTCTACGCTGATCATTGTCAACAATTTTATAATTTAAAATAAGATATATCCGTCGATATTTTTTTGTTCGATGATAGAACGAAGAAATTCGATTGAATTGACTTTGTATTTCTTATATTCAATTTGATTTTTCACGATTTTTATGTAACGAATTGTAAGCGTAAACTCGATTAGAACTGAATTTTATAATTAAAATTGAAACGTATTCGAATGTCAAATTGATATATTTCATTTGTATGCGATTATATTTTTCTTATTTTTCTCCTTTTTTTTTTTTTTTCTTTTTAAAACAATATTTAATTCAAATAATTATATTGATTTGGATAAATTATAATTTTCAAGAATGTCAACGTTCATATTATATTTTTTAGATATTTTATATAATAACATATTAATAAGAATTATGCATTAGGTATTTGTTGAGATTGAAAGGAAACAAATGATGCAAAAAAGAAAAATAATGACTTTTTTTTTTAATATGAAACAAATAAGTTATCGAATAACGTGGTTTTACGAAAGTTACGAAAAAAATTAAACAACAAAAAAGAAAAGAACAAAATAATAACGTATTTGCGTAACATTTTGATCGAGTTTTGAAACGTATCTGTCGAAAACATTGTTCATCGAAGTCGATGTTTGGTTAGCGTGCTAAATTTAAATTAGGATTCGAAGATGACGAACGAGATGGGATTTTATACCGACTAACTTTGGATAAAGAGTCGAAGAACCTTAGTCTAATCATAAAGGAAAACTTACAAGTACGTGCGAGAACGAAAATAACTTTCCATCCGTCAATTAATTTGAAGGACTTTCGAAGAACGAGAGTTTATTGCTACGTCAATGATAACGAATGCATAAAAAAGCAATTGGGATGAATTTATGAGCAATAAAAACAGCAACAAATAGATTTAAAAGTATTTAGATTATTTCTCACGTGATAACAAAAGTCTTATATGCGCTGTTACATTTAAGTGCAAATTAATATTTTATACAAAAGGTAATGCATTTTTAATGATGCATTAATTAAATCATGTATTTTCCTATGAATTATTAACGAAAAGATTAGTAAAACATTCGTAAACGAGGAAAGAGATTGTACGATAAAACTCTTTGATAAATCGATCAAAGAAAAAAAAAATCTTCCAACGAGTAAGGATCGATTTATTGATTTATTTGTTTGTTATAAGGTCAGTAGAAATTGTTAAGACGTAGAACTCTGCTCTATGTGCCACACCTTCGCGATTATGCGAACTTCCTACTTATATACGATATGAACATCTCAGTATAAAAAAAAAAAATAGAAAAAAAAAAATAGAAAAAAAAGAAATAATAATAATAAAATATTCCGTTCCTTGAAATATGTTAATTCTTTCGAAGACCTTCCGAAAACTAGAAGCAGCGGGTTTCATTTTTCTTCTAGATTTTTTATTTCATAGCAAGAAGGAGAAATTGTTTTAGATAAAAAATCGAGGATTAAAGAAAGAAAGAAAGAAAGAAAGAAAAAAAAAAAAAGAAGAGTAAAGAAACAAAATAAGAAATAGAGTGAGACGAGAATATTTATGAAAATTTTCTTTGATCAAATACTATCGTCATCCTCCTCGTCTCTCCCCCACTCCTCGCCTCTCCCTTCTATCGTCACGTGTAAATCAATCTGGCGCCACACGTGAGATGACTTCTTGTGTCTCGTTGAAAAAAAAAAGAAGAAGAAAAAAAAGGAAAAAAAAAAAAAAAAAAAAAGAAAAGAATAAAAAAGAAAAAGAAAAAGAAAAAAAAAGAAAGGAAGAAGAAAAAGAAAAAAAATAAATAAGAATTCTTTTCGGTCTTCTCGTGTCATAAATTCGACACGTGGGCGTCCATCCGGACGAGGGATTTTGTTTAAAAATAAAAGTCACTTTCCGGCTTAGCGAATGTGAATTTGTGTCGGTATACGATACATCGATATCAACTCTCTCTCTCTCTCTTTCTCTCTTTCTCTCTTTCTCTTTCTTTCTCTATGTATCCGGAATTGTACATTTATAATTAAATGAACTATCGAACATTAATGTCCCGGCTTGTGCCGAATTTTGTAAGCCTTTTCCGGATCTCATTAGTTAGACGGATAATATATGTATTTTGGCTCGGTTAGTTCGAAGGGTCGATTACCTTTTTCTAAATTTAATATACGATTAGATAACATTTCGATGATAGCGTTTTTTTTTCTACTTTTTTTTTTTCCTTTTCCTGTTTCCGATAGTCTTTCTTTTTTTTTTGTTTTTTGTTTTCTCTTTTACTTTTCTTTTTTTTTTTTTTTTTTTTTCCTTTTCATTTCAATCGTTCCATCGTAATTGATAATAAATTATATTTCTAATTTGAAAGAACGAGAAAAAATACGATACGATATTAAACGAGTAATAATGCAAAGGACACGAAGTTTAGCTACTGACAAAGATTCTTTTCTAATATTTTATTACGAGGATGATTAATCGTTCGAATTTTATATCTCGGTAAATTTTTAGTCTCGAAGGTATAATAACGAGAGAATGAATGCCTTAATATAACTTCGAGGTGGCCAGAAGCTCCTCTCTCTGTCTCTCTCTGTCTCTCTCTGTTTCTCTCTCTCTCTCTCTCTCTCTCTCTCTCTCTCTTTCTCTCACTCTCTCTCGTGTCGGCTGGTTTCGAATTTTGCTACGACGGTGGTGGAATCGGAGCTACCAATCCTGGAGCAGAGATTAAACGGTTAAGGAGCTGGCTATCGAATCGAGTGGGGAGAAAAGCTCGACAACGGCGGTTCCTGGAGGAATTTCGGGATTTCGAACGGGGATCCTTTGCGTACGTGATCCAGTCTACGATCGGACGTAAAGTCGTTTAGAACGCTCGTTGCTTTTCAATAGATCTTCTAAACCACGCGGGGAAGATTACAGATTGATCTAAGAATCTTTTCGTTATCGATCCCAAACGTATACTTCTTCAACGATTGTGAGTAATTATTTGAAAAAAAAAAAAAAAATGAAAAACATCGAAACTCTTTGAGTCCGAATATTTGTTTTTTTTTTTTTTTTAATATTTTAACGAATATAATTTTATAAGTTCTTTTTTGTATTTTTTGTTTTTCTTTTTTGTTTTTTTTCTACTTTCCTTTTTTTTTTTTTTTTTAATAAATGAAAGAAATCTTTTCTCGCAGTGCAGTGAATCGTATAGAAGACAGAATCTAAGATGCCACAGCCAGCTCACGAAACTAAAAACATTCTAACCACTTACCTAATCCTGATATTACTTTTGATCTCTTTATGGTTACTCTACTCGGGGATATTTTAATTCCTTAGTTTTTCTCTTTGTCTATATCTCTCTCTGTCTCTCTCTCTCTCGTTATGGTACGTACATGGAGAAAATTTAATCGTTCGTAATCTCCTTTATATTTCCCAATTATTTCCTGATAAAAACTTACACTCTATGTCGATTTTTCAGAGTTGAAACATGAAAGACGAAGAATGCGAGTTTCTCAAAGGCTGGACGACTTTCTCGATCGATACTCGGAAATCGAGAATGGAAAGGATATCGATTATTACACAAGATCAATTTTATATTTCCGAATCCTTCTTGATCTCGCTCAGATCGGATTCTGACCATCACCGATTCATTGCATAGATTAATATTCATTGTTTAAGTTTCAATAAGTTAAATAAGTTAAAGAATTAATCGAAACAATCATGTCATCGGAAATAAATCTTTTTTTTTTTTCTTTCGTTTTTTTCTTTTTCTTTTCTTTTTTTTTTATACGTACGGAGACAGGGAGCGAGTGAAATTCTCTCTTTTTTTTTCTATTAGAACGTAATATTTATAATTGTGCCACTTCGTAGAATGAGTGAAATATTAAAAAAAAAAAAAAAAAAAAGGACAAAAGAAAAAAAAAAGGAAAAAAATTTAATACGAAAACGGGTATTCGATGTGTGTGGGTGCAATTGAATGAATGTATTCGTAGGTTCATTGTGTTAACGTATTCAATGCTTGTATAAAAGTAACGACAGTGGGTGGAAGGTAACAGACAAATAATTACACATAAAACAATGCTACGATTTATAGGTCAAGGATGAATATTCGTAGAATTTGAGATCTAGATAATTGTGAAATATTTGAATAATCTGTATGAATTATTTTATGGGGATAAAATTGGAACGAATTAAATGTCTCGAATATCATGGAATGATATTTCTATTGTTCGCATAAAGTAACATTTTTATTATCACTGTATGCAGACAGATATAATATATAAATATTTTGTATGGAATAATTTGTGAATAGAGTTTGTGAAATTTAATTTTAGGATGAAAAAAGTCAATGGCCGTGAGGATGGAGGAAAAATAAAAAGAAAAGAAAAGAGAAAAATGAAAAGTATGGGCCTTGCCATCTGTAGAAAATAAGTAAACGTTTGGATTACATGGACGATGAACATGGAAAGCGTGGGTGTTTATACGAAAATAGCCGATGCTTTTAGTTCTCTTCTTCGGTGTTTCACTGTTTCACCACTACGTGTACCTACGTTGATACATATAGAAGAGGAAATCAGTATTTTCTATAGAAGATCCGAAAATAACTGATGAGAAAAACGAAAGGAATATCAACGTTCCTCCTTTAGTCCTGTTCCATCTAAAAAAGCAATAAATAATGACCCGATAGAATGTTTATTCTATCGTTCGTTTCACAAACGAAAATCATTCGTTACGTAAGTTCCTTATAAATCGTCTAAGTTACCCCAAGTATTATTCGACGAAGTTAAATCTTTTGTCAATAAGGAGAACAAACTTTTCTGCGTTTAATCTCGAGGATAATCTTAAACGTAAATCTTTCTACTTGAAAAATAGATCTAACTCCTATTAGGAATTGTATCAAAATTTATCGCGTGTCAGTTCGAATCCAAACGTATGCCGTTACGTTAAATTATATATATAATAATGTTATACATATATATATATTATATATATATTATATATATACATAATATATATATATATATATATATATATATATATATACATAATATATATATATATACAATGATTAAATTTATTCGATTTACTAGTCGTTTTTTTATGTCAAAAAGAAAATGAAAGAAACCATGATGACATGCACCTTTGCTGATTAATAATTAATACACGTCGTGTGACAGGAGCATCATGATAATCGTCGTTCAATGGTGGACAACATCGAAGTAGAAACCCGTTGTAATAAATAATTTTACATTCGAGCTCGTGGAAAGACTGGCAGATGGCCACGTTCCAGTAATCGCTGGAAATAGATCTACTTGCTTTGAATTCAGGTCGTTACGAATAGTATTATCGTGCCCTGTAAACATCATTGCTATATATGTATTGACACAAAATTTATAATACAGAAAGAAAATCGATAACATCAAAATGAATTATAATCGACTTCTTTTTTTCTTTTTTTCTTTTTCTTTTTCCTTAATTACTTTCCCCAATTTACTTGAGGCATGAACAAAAGAGACAATCGATATTTCAGAAAAGCTATTCAATGTTTATTATCAACATCAATATGGATTATTCGAGACGTTGTATTAACTTAATTACAATTTGATTTCTTTCTTAAAAATCTTACGAAAAAATAGATAAACGAAGTATAAAATTTCTACGGCGCTTATGATACTACAACCAAGAAATAGATTGAATATTCCACCTACTTCAGCTGAAATATATTAAATTAATATTAATATTATACATGACTTTTGAATTATAATAAATTTGTTCATTGTCAAAGATGAAATGTTAACAGTTTAAAAATTGTTTATAATATTATATACCAAGATTTTTCCAATCAATGAAAGTTGATTTCGTTTCGAAGATCATGAAGGCGTCCATTTTCCAATAAACGTTTAAAATTGTATGTGTAGCCGTTAAATGTTGACTGAAAGGAACAATATAATTTTTTTCTTTTTTTTTTTTTTAATCATAATTAAAAAATTAATACATAATAACTTTTCAAGTAATTATATATATGATAAAAAATATCATCGAATATTATTAACAGATATAAAAACAATATACACAAGTGTATTATATAATTATTTTCCTTCGATATTTCAATTAATAATATTATTTCCCTTCACCAAAGGTATCTCCGAGTTAAGAAACTATCTAGCTTTAGAAACTATTTAGCTTTACGAAAGTTTATTATGAACTAGTTTTCTAGGTTTATTACGAAAGGCTTTATTACGAACGAGTTTTCTTATTATACGTTTGACGTAGAACACATGTTGGTAAAAATATCGATGTGAAATTTGAATTGCTCACTTTTGAGATTATATAAAAGCTATTAAAGCTATTAGCTATTTTAAACATCGTAAAAAGATTTTTTAATATTTTTAATAAGTATTAAAAACATTTTTTTATGATCCAATGGTATAAACGTGTAAAAACTTACTAAATCGGTGATAAAGATAATGGTGTTTCTTTCAATAAATATTTAATCGACGATATTTGGTATGTTGTATCTTCACAAAGATTTACACAAAAACAATTGTCATAATTCATCGACTTTTTACGTTTCATGTATTTATACAAGCACTTGTTATCATCCAATTCACATAACTGAAAAAGAAAAAAAAAAGAGAAAGAAAAAAAAGATTATATTATATATCGATTTTGATAATATGAGATAATTAATTGATTACCGGGAGTGAAGTATAATTTGCCATTGGTGCATAAATGTAAGGAAGACAATCGCACGCATTGTATATATCTCTGATCAAACAATTAACAAAGCAATTTGATTGTTGATATTCGATGAAAAAGCGTAATTGACTTTTTTCGGAATTTAAAATGCAATCAGGTTGTAAAATACCATTGAAATATTCGTGATAAAGAGTTGATGGTTTTTTTTTAATAATCGGTTGCACCTCCAGCTAAAAAAATCAGATGTTAAAATGATCATAAAATATTTAGTATCGTTATATATTATAATTAAACATGCATATTAATTAACCATTAATCCTTCTCCTTTTTGCAAAGTATATCCAATAGTCTCGGCGTTTGGATAACTCAAAGTGTGATGAATATAAACCTATAAAATGAGAAAAAAAATAAATTAAAAAAAGAAAAGAATATTAATATAAGTATAACCGAGATAAATCGATTCAATATCGTACCAAAAGTTTTATATTGTTTACGAAATTCGTAATTTTTGTTTTATTATCTTCGAAGAATAAATCACGATTGAATATTATGGTCAGACCAGATTTTGATCCAGAACGAGTCGTACGAAGTACAGGTACTTCTTGATAACGTCTACATATATTAAGATAATATTTAAAATTATATGATTTAGATATCTTATTTTTTAACTATCGATAACTTACGTTTTATATGTCATAAGATGCTCCAAATAATAATTGTAAGAACAACATATTCCGTTATTGGTATAAGACTGTTTTATATAATCAGTACAATTTATTTTCTTTTCGTGCCACCAACACGATTCGATCATATTTTCACAAGGATTGAATATTTTCAAAAAATCTATTAATTTCCATTTATTCTCTTTTAAAAATGCATTAAATTTTTTTAAATGTTCATCGTTTTTTCCAAATTCCAATATGGTTATCTCAGCTCCATATCTGTGAAGGAGAATTCATTTTTAATAGATATCATTTTCTTTTCATTTTTATGATATCTACAAAAATCGGTTCGTTTGGCATATTCTTTTTATAATACAAAAATTACATTATTTACCTGACGAAAACCATCGCTTCCTCGATACTCATATTTTCAGGCAATTTTATATGCCGCATTAAATCCATTTGCGTTTTTAGCATAGTCAGTTTGCTAGGACAAATTGTGATAGCAGGAAATGCGGCGAGAAATATCGGTGCATGAAATGTTTTTACGAAAAATTCTGTCGGATTTTCATCCAAACGGTGCAACAATTTTTTCAACATTATATCTATACCTGTTAATATATATACATGTATATATACATATACATTGAAATTTGACAAATGTCAATTATATTTCTTAACTATCTATAAAATTTGATTGTTCAAAAAACGGACCGACGATTCCAGTGATCATTGTACAAAGCCATATAAATTTTCCCACGTAACTGGTAACGATAGCTTGCATTCCAAGATATTTTACACCATGTAACGAACTAGAATCAGTGAAATCTTGAAGTATCTTTCGGGCAATGCGTTTTTTACGATTGGCGTTTGTCGAAATAAGAGTTGACTTGTTTTTCAATTTCTTCTGATCATTGATCTTCTTGACGTCAGGTATATCCTTTTTTATTTTTTCATCGATATTCAATTCTACCTGAAAAAATACATTCCGTTAATTAGATCATTGATATAATTGTTATGGAAACAAAACAAAAAAAAATATATATATATATATAAAAATTATTGCAATAATTAAATTACCATAATTGTTTTCGGCATATTTATTTATTAGTGACTTTAACTTCTTCCCGTTCAACTCTAATCGAATGTGGTTCTTGTTTGTATATGCCATGAATATGGCGTGCAACAATCGTATTTATATATTTTCTCTTTAGAAATAAATTATTTAAAGTATCCTTGAGATCTGTATTATCGTGTTTCAAATCGCTATTGCGCGCATTAATATTTAAAATATTTATAATTTATAACATTAAGATAATAATTAGCTACGTTAAACGTATCTTATTCTAATGAACTAGTAGAGCATTAATTTATGAATCATATAAAAAGATAATATCTATGAGTCAGGTTGTGATCGTCGTTTAATACGACCGATCTTTTATTTACAACTGTTGATAAAAATTTGCTTTAAAACATCAACTAAGCTTAAACAGAACGTACAAATAAATTAATGGTTGCGTTCAGATATAAAAATATGCCTATTTACAATATAAGAAATCGTCCGCTTCTTGTGGAAATTATTCTTAGAAAATAATTTTTACAGAACGAGATTTCAACGACAAAAATATATATATATATATATATATATATATATATATTCTAACAACTTATGAATTGAACTTGTAAAAATGATAGAAACGTATCACCGATCTGTAGGAGATACTTTAGTATCTCCTTAGAATTTGGCTAAAAGTCTTGGAAGAGTGCCAGTTGGTCAGGTGGTAAAGGTGGTTGAGAACGCCAATCGGTTTCAGGATAATCATCGAAACAACTAGGATCACCAGGTGCTTTCACTCTTGGCCTTATCGGTGGTGTCAAAGCTCTTTGAGGTACCTGTTCGTGATTCGTTCGTATATTAAAATGAATAATTTGTTCGTGCGATAAAATCCAATGATTAGAATAAGAAAAATGAAAGGAAATGAAATTACCAAGGGCCATTCTACTAGCTTGAACCAACGATGCCTCTTAACATCTTCAGCTCCTTGTCTCATATTTCCTAATCTCTTCGTTCTGTCTGCGATGAGTAATTTCTTGATGAGATCTTTAGCAATGGGATCCATGTGTTTAGGCCATTCTATCCTACCGCTGAGTATTTTCTCATATATTCCAAATGGATTATCATCGAAAAACGGTGGGAATCCAGCCAACATTTCGTAAATCAGTACACCAAGGGCCCACCAATCAACAGCTTTGTTATGACCTTTATTTTGAATGATTTCCGGCGCCAAATATTCCGGTGTACCGCAAAGAGTCCAAGTTCTGAAAATTAACGACGTTATTAAATAACGTAGAAGGAGATTAGAAATTTTTTAAGTGACAAATTACGATATAATTAAGTACAATCAACGAGTTGATCGTTTGCAATAATATAGAATGAAAGGTGATTATTATGAGCGTAGAAAAATAGACCGAAGTATATATCGAGAGGACGAGAGACGACGTTTTTATTATTTTTCCTTTTTTTTTTCGCGTTTACTTTTTTTTACGACAAAAGAACAAAAAAAAAAAAGAAAAAAATAGATTTAACGATCTCACCTATCAGTTAATTTCTTCGAAAAACCAAAGTCGGTAATTTTCAGGTGTCCTTGACTATCGAGAAGTAGATTTTCTGGTTTTAAGTCTCTATAAATTATGTGTTTGCTGTGAAGGTATTCCAATGCGCAGACGATTTCAGCCGCGTAAAAGCAACTGGTTGGTCCAGAAAATCTTCCGGCTGCTCTTAAATAAGAAAAGAGTTCGCCACCGGCTACGAATTCGAATAGCATGTAGAGTCTGGCTTCGTCTCTACCGCTCCAAAGCCTGAAAAATAAAGAGAGAGAAAGGAAGAGAGAGAGCGAGAGAGAGAGAGAGAGAGAGAGACAATTGGCTAAGAGATCGTTTCTCTCGTCCTCCTTTTGCTTTCCTTCACTATGGATTGTTAATAGCTATTTAATAGTGCGAATCGAGTTACTACGAGACGATATCGCTTTGCTCGATTTCTACGTTACGCTTTTCTCTTCTTTGGTATCTTCTATCTTTACGACTTACATATGTACATATCCGCAATTTCATATTCATTTAATCGATATTAAAGTGAATCAATGAAGAAATTTTTTTCTTAAATAAAATCTTAGATAAAATCAATAAATGATTCATAAAAGTTTATACATTTATTACGATACTATAATATATAATATTTATAGTATCATATATATATATATATATATTATTATATATTATGATACTGTAATATATAATATTTTTAAATAATTAATAATACATAAACGATCGATAATAACAATAATATATGTATTATATACAAACTTTTCTTTTGACTTTTCTAATATGCCTTAGAACGTACGGGCAAAAGATACCTATGCTTACATGTTGACTATGAAGGGGTGATTGACCTCCTTTAGTACCGTGATCTCGTTGCGAACGTGTTCGACTTGTTTCAGCCTGATCACGTCGACCATAGAGAGTATCTTCAAAGCGAGAGGTTTTCCACGATGTCTGCATAATACTACTCTCCCAAATGTTCCCGTACCTGCAAAAAAAATATTTGATAGACGTTCTTGAATAATGAGAAGAAAAGAAAAGAAAAGAAAAGAAAAGGGAAAATCAAGAGGGGAAAGAAAGAGAGAAAGAAGAAAACGAAAAGTTACTCGACGAAGTAACTCGTAACGACACCTCATTATTAACGCTTTCTCCGTTCGTTTAAATTCGAGTCGAGCATTTAGCGCACGCAACTGGTTTATCGCACGCTTTCCCACAAAGATGATGATCGTGATCAAAGTTAGCGATGTTTAACGCACCGTGACTAATTAGCTCGAACAGCGTCTCGGCAGGAGTGATAAAGGTATTTGAAGATAAAGGTGATAGTGGTGTTCGGTGTTGATTAGGGGAAGATAGAAAAGGGAAAAATAACATCTCGAATTTGGCAAACAAATTAATCGCTTCATTGCAAATATACGCATACACATACATTCTCTCTCTCTCTCTCTCTCTCTCTCTCTCTTCTTCTTTCTTTCTCGGTGTTGTTTTTATCGAGGCAACACTATCGAGAAATGACTATGTTTAGAATCGGTGCTGTTTTCTATAGATAGGTCGAACGAAGTTGGCAGCATACGGACAGGAAGATTCGTGAAGGAACATTCGTGTATCTGCCTTTCGCTCGGTAACGACCACCGAGGTCTGCCAACGACAGCTGACAACAGGTGTCGATCGACGGAACGGCGACGCGTACCGAATTTCCGGCGATGGCGTAGGTGCTCTTTAAATACGACCATCTTTATAATAAAGACCGTACGATGATCATTTTTCGAGAGAGAGATTATAAATGTATATTGTTAATCTATGTACTATCTTCTCTCTTTCACGTTCGTTCATCGATAAATCATTCCTCGTTACATTTGATTTTTTTCTTTTTTTTTTTCTTTTTTTTTAAGACTCGATGATCGGGAAAAAAAGAGAAAAAAAGAAAGAAAAAGAAATCTGAATGTATTCACCATTGGTGATTTATGTTCTTTCTTTTTTCTTTCTTCTTTCTTCTTCTTCTTTCATTTTATTTTTATTTTTTTTTTATCTTTTTTCTATTTCTTTTTGTGTCTTTTTTTTTCTTTTTTTTTTTTTTTTTTTTCTTTTTAACGAATATATATCTTCCCTTTTGCCATGTGAGAATATACATATGTATATATATTTCTATGTTGGACGCATTGTACGTATATGCTTCTACATCATAGCACGAAAAACGTTAAGTCTATTTTCCAAGGAAGGACGACGAGGGTCCCATAAATTATTTTTGGTTCGTGTGCGAATATTGAACGCGAATACCCAAGAGAGACAGAGAGAAAGAGAGAGAGAGAGAGAGAGAGAGAGAGAGAGAGAGAGAGAGAGAGAGAGAGTGTGTGTGTAAGAGAGAAAATCGTTCCTGAGACGTGCGTGTTTTACTTGGATCTCGAGTGTCAGGCCATCAAGTTCTATAGGTTGTTTTTTTTTCTTTTTTCTTTTTTTCTTATTCCTTCTTTCTTCTCTCTCTGTCTCTCTCTCTCTCTCTCTCTGTCTCTTTTTCTTTTTGCTTCTCTCTCTCTTTTTTTTTTTTTTTTTTTTTTAACATCGTGGACACTCGAACAGTTTGGTGTCGATCCAAAAGCTTGTTTTAAGTTTCAAAGAAGAACTGCACATCTGTTCTGATCGATCTAATTCCGTTTGTATGTTATTTTACGAGGACGAGAATCGAGCCGAAATGACGCGATAAAATATTAATGTGTCTTTATTGTGAAACGGTTTGTTTGTCTTAAAGTATAGCCCGTCTGTTCCGAGACTTTCTTCGTGAGTATACCAATCAACTACTACAGATCCTAATGTTT